GTTGGGGAGATGGCGGAAGGGGCCGAAGATGAAACGGAAGAGGTTGGGGAGATGGCGGAAGGGGGTGAAGATGAAACGGAAGGGGTTGGGGAGATGGCAGAGGGGGACGGAGAGGTGTATGAAGGGGCCGAGGAGGTGTATGAAGGGGCCGGGGAAGCATTGGAAGGGGGTGAGGATGTGTTGGAAGGGGAGGAGGGGGTGGCAGAAAGGGGTGAGGAAGAGGACTACGTCGGGGCGGGGGAGGTGGAGCAGCCCCAGAGTCCAGCCGCACCCCCCGTCGAAACCCTGGACAGTGGAGAGGAGAGCAACGAAGAAGAGTAAGTACAGAGGACCAGTGAATCACTCTTTGACGTCATGTATTAGGGACCTGTTCTTAATCAGACATTCTACTGCAGTTAATAGTTAATGCAAATTCTGATACCATGCAATTTAAGTAAAAGTTTTCATAAATGAAAAAAGAATGGGCCTTGCTGCTTTGTAACTTTATGTAACTTTTGTCGTTACATTGGCCGTGTTAGATTTGAAGGACTGGTCAACTTTTCAGCAAATGTGACGGCAGAGATGGAGCAAAACTGCTTGATACAGTTGTCTAGAGTCCACTTTCAGTTTCCTAAGTCTCGTAACCGGTCAAATAATTAATGCTGAAGAAACTTGCTATGGTGCCCCCGCTGTGTGGTCAGAGCACGGACGTATATAAAAAACCTGGACTTGCAACGCCTTTGTATGAAAAAGAAGCCAACCAGTGGCCATTTTACCGAGCCGAACACAAAAGCGTGGGTTGGCTCCCTTCCGTTGACGTCAGGAAGAACTAAAGCCGGCATTGCCAGGAAAGCTTTGTATTCTGCTCGGCAAAATGGCCACGAGTGGATTCAATGATCTCTGTAAGCTGATTAAGGGCATTGCGAGTCCAGATTTTATTATACACATCCGTGGGCAAGAGCTTCAGGATGAGGTTTGTGTGCCACAGGACCTCAGTTTGAAGAGCACCAGCCTACTATAAACTAGCAGCACTGAACCTGTATCAACGGTTTTGAAAGGTCCGATGACGGGCCGTTTGAGACAGTGCCATGTGCGCGCAGACACCCGTGGCAGAGTGTGTTCTGCCAGTAAGTGACGAGGTTTCACAAGAGAAGTTCCTTTCCAGTGTGTAACACTTTGCAGGAAATTAATGAACTTTCATTTGTGCATGTTTCGTTTCCAGAGCGGGAGTTGGAGAGCTCATCGCCGACATTTTTGGTTCGAGCGACGAAGAAGATGACGAAGAATTCGAGGTGTGAATTCAATTAGATCGTGCAGAAGTTGTCTCTTTTCCTTGCATCTTGTTATTTTAGAATTTGGCTCGGTCTAACCCTAATCTTTTTGCAGGCTCAGCAAAGTGCGACAGGTGTAAAAGCCTGGTGTATTTTTGTTGCGCCGAGTGTTGCGCGGAGTAAGCTGCCCATGCTCAGACAACGGGAGCTGGTCCCATTGACCAATGCCACTGCTGAATCCTGTAAGTGGCTGGCAGCCACAGACGACCCGTCTGTTCGGCCTCTTTGATGGTTCACCTAGTGGATCTTGTTACATTGGGGGGGCAAGGCACTTTGACTGCTGATGCAAACAGACGTCCATGACAGGGTTTCGAGCCAAATACCCAAAAGGGCTAGGATTAAGTACTTACTTGGCAAAGGAGCATCCTTGTAAAAAAATCTGGTTTGCCAGAGAGAAGTTGTTAACCTTGTTCAAAAGGCAACTTCTGTGGCTGAAGTGTACTTTCTATCTCTCTGTTTTCCTTCTTTGTAGGGATTTGAAAAAGAAGAGATTGAGCAGCCAGTGAAAAAGAAGCGGACAGGTAAGCACAGAACGAGTCCGAGGCGTGCCCGGTTATGGGTAAAGTACGGTGCCAGTGTTTTGTTAAGAAGAGCCTTCAGATGTATACACCAAATCCGGCAAAAACGGGTACAAAATATGCATCAACTGGGAACATTCGCAAGCTAGAGGAGGCAGCTCGGAGTCCAGCTGATGTTTGGATCCTAATCTTTGATTTATTCCCTCAGTCCTAGCGAGATTGTGTGACAATCTCTCACACTCAAAAAAAGGAAATCCGAAAGGAAAAAAGTTTTTTGGCGATGCAGTTGGGCATATGCTTCAGTTTGCCTGTAAGTTTGCTCAAAATATCTCGAAACAGGCTTTTAGAATGCAGTGCTTTAACCAACCGGTTCGAACATTTCCCCATTTTATTTCATTGAATTTCACCTCTGAATGTCCAATTCCAAAATATAAATATTGATCAGCCCTGTAGAGCCTTCAAATTTGTGTAATTGTTTGGGCAACAGCCGTTGTCTCTAGTGATGAGGAAGATGACGAAGACAACGATGCTGACATGGGCCTGGAAGATGCCCTCGACCAGGAGGGGGCGGCCGAAGAGATGGAGGGAGAGGAGCTAGCAGAGGGGGAGCAGGCGGAGCCTGGGCAGGGGCAACAGGGTGCGATGGCGGAGGACTCCGACTCGGACGAAGGGGTCGATGACGACAGGAAGTCCAAAGGGTAAGGGCCGGCGACCATTCAGACCTGGTTTGAAAAGGGCCCCCTGGTAAGCTCGCCCTGTTGCAAAAACCCCTTTCATACCGGCCTGGCTACCGGCCTGGGATGTTGGACTGGTCGTTGATCTTGAACTTCTCCATCCTGGGGTCTATTGTTTGCAAGTAATGGTACATGTAATCTATCACAGAAGGAACCTGCTTGTGGTTTTCAATCCTTCAGCTCTATACAATGTTTACACTAATTTGCTTAGACCCCTATTCATCTGTGGAAGCATGGTGGGGGAAGCCTTTCATCAGGGACTTTGAAATGCAGATGTGCACACAGGCCTGATACCGGCCTGGAGTAGCCTGAATACCAGGCAGGCATTATACAGGGCGGGCTACCGGGGGGGCCCTTTTCAAACCGGGTCTAAACGGTCGCCGGCCATAAGTCGGACGCGACCCTAAAGGAAACATGTCTCATACATATTTCGTACACATTACTATGTGTTACAACAATACAGACTAGTCCAAAATACTTGTTTTCATTGGAAGTGTAAACGTGGTAGTTTTGCCACTCTAAGAAAATCCTTTCCTCAACGTATGCAGGGGGGGTGTAATGGTGGCGTTGTCCTACAGGGCACTCCTTGTCAAAAGAGCTTAAGAACAATGAAAAAATCAGTCCTTCAAAAATCACCCGCCAACATTTTGAAGAAATACTGGCCACTACTGTTTTCCAAATGAGCTGTACAACATGAAAACCAAGTATAAAGTGGAACTTACTCAATGAAAGTATGTCAGCAAGATCCCAGCAGGGCACCGACCAAATGTAAGCTCCTGTCCAGAAGTAAAAACTGGTTTGGACAGTACGATGTTTGAAGGTGCTTTGTGCAAACAGTGGTTATCTATTTTTTGACTGGGTAAAACCATTGTGAATTCAGTCAACGGAGCGGTGATGAAAGTTTCACTAAATCACCAAATATGGTCATAACTTTATTCCAATGGGCCAACTTGGCAAAGATTCCACGTAATCCTCACCCCAGGCATACACCACGAGCCTGTAGACTCCCATTTGCTAGACCCCAACCACTGCAGAGTAAGGAGTCTCGGAAGATCAGTCACCGCAAGGAGCCCATGATCGCTACCAGGAACTGGATCTCTCTGTTTACAGACTTGTGCTGACTGGTCGGCTGTTTGGGTTGTGACTGGTATTACTGTACTTCCTCGGCAGCATAACGAAATGTAGATAGAGAGGGGATCTGGGAGATGTATTAGCTGCCGTAAAACAGTCGTACAGGTTCAGGCATGACCGGGAACTGACCCAGTGACAAAAGTCTCCGCGTGGAGAAAAAGTCTTACTTTATGGGCATGGCTGCTCCGACAACTTCTTACAATTTTGTGTGCATTTATAAACTGTGTTCATTCTCAAGCGAAACCTTTCCAAGCTTGTTACTATCCTGTGGAGTTAGAACACTGAACTGGTGTATTGTTAAAAACTCTCAAAACAGGGAACAAAATGAGGAGAGGCGAGATAAAAATATACCTGATCACTTCGAAGATAAAAAATCCGATCAGCCTTTGGTGAACAAAACCCCTGTGTTGGAGTCAAGCCCATTAGACGTCCTTGCAAGTCCATCACACATCATTCAATCTTAAAGCCAAGTCACTTGAAGAGCTTGTGAAAGGAGTTGTGACTGGACTTCAAAAAGGACTTGTGACTGGACTTCAGAAAGGACTTGTGACTGGACTTCAGAAAGGACTTGTGACTGGACTTCAGAAAGGACTCGTGACTGGACTTCAGAAAGGACTTGTGACTGGACTTCAGAAAGGACTTGTGACTAGACTCGTGACTGGACTTGCAATAGGACTTGTTGCTTGATGAATCAATTTTGTGTCGTTTTCACTTGCAAACGACAGGGACGTCGTGTACCAGTTTGACCTGATGATGGAGCGGAAGAAAGCGGAGAACCAGATGAGGCGGAAGCGGCGCCGGGGCGGCGACATCATTAACGACAACGATGACATCATCGTGGCCATGATCAAACAGATGGAGGAGGCAGCTAAAGTGAGTCCATCTATCGGCCCCTGTAGGAGTTACTCGGCTGCGACTTGAAGTTATGCATGAGTCTGTGACGGTGGCTGAAGCCACTACCCATAGCGTCCCATGTAATTTTGAATTGTAGCCATGTAGTTCGGACACGGCCAATGTTTGTCAGACCCCCCCTTCCTCCCATGCCGTCCTTGTCTTCAACCCATTAAACAGGCTTGCTCTGTTTTTGGCTTGAGCGACAACCACTTGGTGACCACCGGTCGATTTTCCCTGGTAACCTGTGCACAACACATATGTTCTGGGTACCAGTCCAAAAATTGACCAATGGTTGACAGTTCGTTGTCGCTCAGACTTACCCCAGTTTTAAACCCATTCCAGACTTTGGAATGCAAAGCAAAAGCAAATATAATGCCATGAAACGCTTGCAGTGACTTTCGCTTGAGTTGATTTGTTTTCAATTTTTGGAATTAACAGTGCGAATATTTGACCTGACGTCACATAGTTGCATTTCATTTTAACTTTCACTAAGTCTAAACCGGCCTGCAATTTTTCAGCAGATACTTAAAAAAGTGTCCCATCAGGTTCCAGCCCAGTATTGGTTTTGGACGGGATTCATAGGGTATCTATTATTAAAACAAAACTCAAAGGCAGTAAATAAAAAAATGCAATTATCAGAGTACCATGTGACACAGTTTTCCCGAAGACCGGCCAGCACTGCAGTAGGGAAGTCTTTGGTCATGCGTCAGTTGCACTGTGAGGCTTGTTTTTCATGCAAAATAATACAAGTCCTGCTAAGGGTAGATTTTGCGGTGTGGTACAATCTTTTGTGGATTGATGGCACGGCTGTGCTAGTGGCGATCCAAGATTTGGTGCCAGCTCCGTATGTTTGTCGTACTTCTTGCCATTTTTCAAAGCTTGAAAGGTTGCCTGATACCCATTCATACTGTGCGCAGTACCATTGCCTTCCGCTGCGACAGCTGTGGATGTATGTCGAATTGCTTGAGTCACCGAGGGCGCCCTGCTAGTGTTCATGAAACACGTGGACGTTGATTGTTGCAGTCTTCTGCTGTGCAGACTCAATCATGCCACTTTTTTCCCTGGGCTTCAAGACCCTAATCTTGACTAAACAGCTGGGTACCCCAGGGTACCCTCTGCAGTGCATGCCTAGAGGGGACAGCTCCTCTCAACTCATAACGGTCGCTGGAGACCAGTAAAATATTTTGTTGCAATTCTGAAGTGGTCGTGACTTGCATGAGGGCGTCGTATTGATCCCCTTCTCGTGTATGCGCCTTTACACGTAACCACTTGGCATTTTTTCCTCCCCTGCCACGGTAGGAGGATCGCATGTTGAACCAGATGAGGAAAGCAGCCACCAAGAAATTAACGATGTTGCCATCCGTAATGTCCCAACTAAGAAAGTAAGTTCCGACGGCAATCAAAAGAGCACAGTGGGATTATAAATCAACCACCCCCCACAAAAAAAAAGAGGTAACGCACCCACAGTGGAGTGTGTTTTGAATTTACGAGGTTCATATTTTTGGCTGTGACAAGCAATTGAAATGGGAAATTGTTTCCTCGATTGAGCCAGTCCGGTATTTTAAAAAGCCAAGGTCTTTTGGAAACAGAGCGCACGTGAGTCGGTGTTTGGCTTTGCTGATTGGACAGACTATCCTGTGTGCATGTAGCTGTTCCCAAATATCCTCGTACTGGGGGTGCACTGTTGCAATACCTAGCTGGCTCATTGTGAATGTTTGTAGAACATACAAAGGAAAATGGAAACTGGAAGTTGTTATTTAAAGCCCTGTAAATTATCAAGAAAAGTACTGTCACCTGGCTCACCCATGAGCAAATTTGGGTGGGAACTGAAGTTTGTTGATTAGCTGTGCGTTGCGTACAATCTTGTTGGAACATGGGCGCCACTATTTTTTGTCAGGAGGGGAACCACTTTTCTTGAGGGGGGGCTTTCCAGTGTGGGGTCAAGCACTTATCAGCTACGGAATGATAAATCATTGACATTGGAGGGGCTCAGTTTTGAGGGTTTTTATTTTATTTCAAGCCTTTCATCTCTTTTTTCCCCCCTAAGTTCTGCTTTTTTCCCTTTTCATTTTACAAGTGCGACAAGTGTCCGCCCTTTGCCTCCCCTTGCAATGCCCATGTATTGGAACAACCCATGTTCAACGAAATCAAACGGTCCCACCCATTTTCCATTGTTTTACTGTTTTCGTCGATAGTAACGCAATTTCGCACAGCTGGTGATTGGCTCTCTACCTAACGACTAAGCTAGGCTATTGAAAACCGGCAATGCAACCATGCCCCTGGTCCTGTTCCACATATTAGACCTGGGCAGTCTGACCGCAGTAGGTTCGAGTAAAGTCAATCAACCTGTTGTCAACCAGTACAAAAGTGATCTAACAACGTACCCACATTTGCAAAATTTTATGCGGATATCTTGAACTGCTTTGTTTTGACCGGCAAGGCAAATGCGCATTTTTTCGTCTTAAAACCTGACAGCTTGCTCACGCACGCGCATTCACCTCCCCGTCAAATCCCCTGACTTCTTGGTGTGTTTTACAATAGGCAAGACCTGCAGATAGCATTCCTGGACTGCGGCATCCTGCGGGTCATGAAGGAGTGGCTCATGCCCCTGCCGGACCACAGTCTGCCCAACCTGCACGTCAGGGAGAGCCTTCTCAAAGTACTCAGGGAGGTAAGGTGGCGCCCTATTACCCCCCTCCCTGCCCCTGCCCCTCCCCCTCCCCCCTCACCCTACTTGCCCAGCCATCCATTCAGCAGCAGAACTAGCTTGGAATTACATCGTGTCGATAGAAATGGCCCTTATACAAGCATTAGGAATGCACAGGTTTTCTACTATTTCGTCGTAAGCACTGGCAAAGTACAACTTCTCTGCCATTTTCTTGGGCTTCAAAAGGGACATACTTTGCTTTTTGGAAAAAAGTCAACCAGTCAGAATGCCGTGTGATGTTATGTAGCTTGGTTCAGGTTCTGCTCTGAAGCAGTTAGATAATTTTTGCAGTTCGACACTGATCTTTTGTTCTCATATTCCCAACTTCACAGTTTCCGCCGATCGACCAGCACATGTTGAAAACCAGCGGCATTGGCAAAGCTGTTATGTGCCTGTACAAACATCCCAAAGAACTCCGGCACTGTCGGGATTTAGCTGGCAGGCTGATCAGTGAGTAGGATTTAATAAGCACACTTTTCCTTATTGGATCTTGGGTTCTGAAGGGTGATTCTGATTGGCTTTTTTTAGATCTGAGGGGCCATTCTAATTGGCTTGTGTGTTCATAAATGCCATATGATTGGCTCATGAATCCAGAATGGACATTTTGATTGGTTGTTGGGTTCAGAAGAGTCATTCTGATTGGGTCTTTGGTTCAGAAGGGCCATTCTCATTGGCTGCCATTTCCAATCTCTCATTGCACAAATCAAGTGCTGAAACATGCACATAATATTGAGATTGCCCCTGTCTTTGATTGGTCAGTTAACACCTGTTGTTTGTTTTTCAACACAGATGATTGGTCCAGACCGATCTTTGGGGTGGAGGCCAATTTTCACTCCATGTCCAAGGAGGAGCGGCAAGCGAGAGATTTGGCGCAGCTCTCGGCAGTGAAGAAGAGACGGTTAAGGTGGGTGACCGGCATGCACGGATGCCTCGCACCAACCAAGAGAATTTGATCAGGCCCGAGCCCAATTTCTTGCCTAACAGTAGCTAAAACTCCCGCGCCAATAGTGTATTTCACCGGTTAGCGGAGAAACTTGGGTAATGAGCATACGTAAATCGTGATATTGAGGATTCCGTGCTTACTGGGGTTGGTCTTGAATTTTGTACCAGCACTGCAAGCGTGGATTGTTGGTTGTTTACCGAAGTCTGTGATAAGCGAAGCCATGAAACTTGGACCCTGCAAAAGTCGTAGCTTTTTCGTCATATCTCAGGTGGTTTCATTCTCAATGGCCAATGTATATCTGGTCTGTGTACCATTCAGACTTGACCTGCAGAGACTTCATTACTAAGATTGGTACCCAACTCGTGTGCCCACGTTCCTAAAAATGTAGGCGCACATCCATATTAAGAAGACACAATGTCCTATGGAGCACTGAAGTAACTACGTTACGCTCACAGTTGTCTGTGTTAAAGGCATCAGTGCGAGAACCACCGTGTGAACCAACGCGCAAATACTCCATTTCGTTTGCACAACGCTTCTTGGTTCAAAACGATGTCACGCTTAGGTCCTCTAGTGGTCAGGCATTTGATACGACCATCTTTACTCTTGGTCGCTGGATACTTTGTCCTGTGTTTTGCTGCTCTATGTGTTTTCTGCATGCTGTATGGCAACGATACTGTGTGACTCACGGCACCTCCCAACGGCAGCCAAAGCCAGAGTGTAGACCGAACATTGAACTGTGGCTGAAAGCTCACCACACTGGAAGAACATTCCCTGTCTTAGCTGCGTTCCCGTTTTCTCTCGTTTCGTAAATAGTTCCACGGACGGCTCCACGGCCAAACCCAAGAGCATCGAGACGGCACTAACAGGAGAAGAAAGGTGGGTGGTTAATGAGACATAGAGAGGGGGGGTCAACAGTTTTCCTGGGGCAAGGGGGGAGGGACCAGGACAAACACTCAGCAGCAAGCTGGTAACTGTTCAAGGCTAGGTCCCTACCAGGTGGGAAGGTCAACACAGATGTGACTTGGTGACGTCACGTCAAGTATTCACCCTGCGATTTTGCAAAACTTGAACGCATTTGAATTTGAGCAAATTTTTGCTGGAAATCTTGTTTTTTTGACGTCAAATTCACTTTGCTTTCATATTC